CTGTCTCAAAAATAAATAAACGTTAAAAAAAATTATTTGTGAATGTCACTGAATCATGATCAGATAAAGCCTTTCTTCTAATGTTAAAGAAGCAGCACCTCACCAGAATCTTACTCTGGATCTGCACCATTGTCCATAAACTAGTTTGCCTCAAATGCTGGAATGAGATAATACAAAATAAATCAAAATGAAATCAAACGTGACTGGATAGCCTTTACACTTCAAAATAGCAAAACCACACTCATCTTGCTACACTGGATGACACAAACCTTAAAAAACCATCTGCTGTGATTCTGGCCATTTTTATCTGAGTCACTGCATTTCGAGAAAGAGACATGGGACCCAACAAACACACCTGGGTCTACCTTGAAGAGTTTCTAGATGGAGCCCTCTTCCTTACTTCTGAAGCTCTTTCCACCTCTGATCTCCAGTTACCCCATCCATTTCTGAATCCCATTATACTTGGAAATCTTATCTATTCCTGGTCTGCCAGGAACCCAACAGCTTTCCAAACAGGGGAAAAGTTTATACCCTCTCTCCCATCTTCACCAGGTAATTCAAGAAGCAAACTAATCAAGAAAAGTGGCTGGTCCAAACTAAAGGGAAATTCTTGGCTGCTTCCACAATCCTCCATGTAAACAGAGATGGGGCCCACATGAGGCCACGGAGAGGCCACTCCTGCACCAGTGAAGAAGCCCCAGGCAGATGGGTGACATAGGGCAAGGACTGAGGTCAAAACAAGAGGTGACAGGAGAGGAGTGGCAAACACCTCTCTCTCTGCACAGGTCTTCCAGGCCTAAGTGATGCTATGCTTTGGTGAAAAAATCAGTGATTGCTATCCAGAAAGAGGTAGACTTCAGTGGTTTGGGACAATTTTGAGGTCAGTCTGGACCTTGAGATCTTCTCAGAAGCTTTAAAGCCTTGCTTGTGGAGACAGAGCATAACAGTCAAACTGTCCAAAGTTAAAAAAAAAAATGCAGAATCTGGAGGGAAAGCTAAAAACTAAAATAAAATTTGGTTTCTTAAGCCTGGACATGAAGTCGACAGCATTTTCAGTCAAAGTCTATGCCCCCAATGTCAAAAACAGGTATTAATTAGAGAAATAGAAGTTTCTTATTTCTTCCACTCTAAATTTGCTGGCCACCACTGGTTATTATGGTGGCAATAATCTAATAAAACACTGGAATTAAAGCAATGCCATAGTTTTGTTTATAAGGCTGACCTAAGCATCTAATTTTTTAATTGAACACAGACAGACTGCACTTTTCTTGTCCTCAGACTGTCTTGAACTATTTAGCTGAAGGTGTCTAAGAAAACTCAGCAAAGTTCCACTTATTGGCATAGTTCAGATTGGGAGGTTCCCAACTGGCTCTAGTAGGAAAATCAGCCTTTCCATTGCGCCATGTAGTATCGCCATCTGGTGGTAGAGGGAATAACTGCAGGCTACACTGCTACAGGGTAAAAACTTGCCTTTTGCTGGTTTACTTCCAAAAAACGGTTTCTTTTGGTGACCTAAGTTTATCAGACACGGAATATATTCACTTTGTATATTTTAGTGGTATTCAAATCATGTTGCCATGATTTGAAAAAATAAAATAGCTTACAGCTTAAGTATTTTAAGTAAAGCTGTTGGTTCATTTGCTCCTTTATTACATACCTTCTTCCTAAGTGCCTACTATGTGCCAAGCACTGCGGAGGGCACTGGGACAACCAGGAAAACAAGACATGGTTCCTGCCATCCAGGAACTGAGTATAGTTCAGTAGGGAGACAAAGTAAGTGATCAGGCACATCGTGTACGAGTCTCAGGAATGTCTGGCACCTCAGCCAGCGCCTGGCATGGTTTGTGTGTTCAAATATTTGTTAAAGGAATGCGTGACCTGGAAGCACACAGTAGGGACACGTAGCCCAGACTCAGCAGTGGTCGTGCAGGGTATTTAAAATATATACCATATGTCAGTATGCTAAACTAATGTCCTCATTAGGTGAAGTGTATGGAGGAACAGACATACATTTCACACCACAATGGCACTAATTACTAAGTCTGTACTTTCTTGGAAAACGTAGATAACTAGGGCATCCTATTCCACAAAATACCAGTTACCCAAAGTCTTAGGTGACTTGAGTGAGCTATTTTAATTAACAATTCCCTTAGCATGCTTGGTTAAGAGTGCAAAGTCAAGTGCCATTTGGTTACAATGGGAAAGAAAATATATACAAACCTTTCTTCTCTTGCTTGTCTTTGCTCCTCTCTTTTGTCTAAATACTCTCGGCTAACAGAAATATGCAGAAGAAACAAAATAGGGAAGGAAAAGAACAGAATTAGATGCTCATGAAATTGCCAAGAAATTATTAGTGTTTCATGAAAGACTGCTGCCTCAGAAATGGAAAGTGGTTGTGCTGGATTAAAAAAATATATATATATAAAGGCTACCCTTTCAAACTACTAAATACAATGGATTTCCTATCGAATCACAGGGATGAAAACATGGGAAATCCCACAAGTTAAAGAAAGAAGAATTTAGGTATATGGGTGAGAGAGGAGACGAAAAAGTTTTTTAAAAGGTGAAACAATACATAAATAAAATACGGCAACTGCAAGCAAGCAATAGCTTTCAGAGATGATTAACGTCCAATCAAGTCCTGCTAGCTCCACAATTTTCATCTCAAGGATTAAATCTAGGTGGGTCCAGGTGTCTAGGCCATTTTGTGTTGCACTCTGCAGTTTGGACATTCATGCCACAGTGCAGGATTCTTCCTCTCCATCCCTACGCAGGGATCATGGGAAACTCTTGCTTTGTACATTCTCTTGTCTGCACTCGTGAGATGCCCAACTTTGTCCACTTCCCACGTTTGTTGCTCTGCTCCTGCTGATGAGATTCCAGCTTGAATCTAAGTTTAAGACTTAGGATCAGCAACTTCTCAGTGGACCACTTATTTTTCTGAAAAATTATGACTTCGTGGCTTCCTAAACTGGACGTCACAATGTAGCTTAAGTATTCTACCCGCCCCCCACCCCCCATGCACTGGTAACAGGATATAAAGGGACAGTAGGTCAAAGCAACTAAAGCAGCTTAGGAGACGGAGAAAAAGAAACAAAGACCCAGATTTGTTAGCATTTACGAGCACTCGTCCTCATCACCTTCCACATTAGAAATAATATGTCCCATAACCCAGGAATCTTAAAATCATATTCAACAAAAATAAAAACAGGTAAGGATGCTCTCCAAGGGAAAAAACCAAAAGAAGTACGAATAACTTAAATCAATAAATGGCTGAATTACTATTTCCTTTTTCGAAATTCGTTTCATTCACATCCTCAGACTTTCAGGCTGGAACTATAGTCATCATAATTAATAGTTGTATGTGGTCTGTCCTGACGATTGACCAGCACTCCTTCTTGGACAGGGTTCTTTTTTCCAGGATCTGTGTCTTACATGGGAAGTGACACCCACTTGGGACGAAAAGCAAATAGTGGATAGTTACAAGCACGGTCTGTACCTAGACACACAAGCATATGAATGTACAGCTTAGTATTTGTTACAATGCGCTCTTGTCCTATTCTTCTGGGGCTTCAATGATATGAATGCAAGGCATTTTGTTACTGTTCCATAGGTCCCTGATACGCTACGTTTTTTCCCCAATGTTATGCTTCATTTTTTAAACTGGATAATTTCTGTTGTTCTGCCTTCAAGTTTACTGACTTTTCTCTCATCTCCATTCTGCCATTGATTCCATCCAGTGAATTTTTAATTTTGATTACTGCATTTTTCAGTGCTATACGTATTTCCACTTGGTTCTTCTTTACAGCTTCTATTTCTTTACAGAGACTTATTTTTTCACTTGTTTCAAAAGTATTTGCCCTTACTTCTTAGGACATGTTTATAGTAGCTCCTTTACAGTCTTTGTCTGATAATAACATCTATGTCCTTTTGCAGTTAGCACATTTTGATTTTCTTTCCCCTTTAAGAGCCTCATAGTTTATTGTGTGACACGTTACACTGGATTACATCCAGAACATTTTAAATATCTTGAAATGAGACTCTGGGTCTTCCTTGAATTCTATGAAGAATCTTATTTTCTTTAAGCAGGCAATCAACTGGGTTAGGTCCAGCCTGCCAGTTCTGACACTGGCTCCAATATTAGCTCAGCTTTCAAATATTTTTAATGCTATTCAAATTGAGCCCTTGTGTGCACCACCCAGTAGCCAGTCCTGGACCTTGAGTGGTGGTCCACTCTGTATTTAGTTCTCAAAGTCTGTGGTATGCTCTGGAAGTTCTGAGCCACATGTGCACAATTGGGAGATGAACCCAGAATGCTCTCTTAATTTCTCTACCCCTTTGTGACTTTCCTATAATTTCTAGGCTTCCTTGGGTCTCCACTCTTGGCCCTGTAGCCAGAAAGCTTGGGCTTTATTTTCCATGCTCTGGTGCATACTTTGAGTAACTCTGTCTGCACCCAGGGCAGCACAGTAGGATGCAGAGAGAACAAGGGCGATTTGCCTAGTGCTCTTGGAACCACAGCTCCTTTGGTCAGAGGAGGGGTGCCCTCCCTCAGAGTTTCAGGCACCTGCCTGGACACTGCTGCCATCATTGTGCTTCGGTAATAATACAGCTTGGAGACTGGGGTAGGGAAGAAGGGAAAAAAATATGAAAATACAGTACATTTCTCCAGTGTCTGACTCTTAGGAACTCCGTTTTCTGCTCCTGAGTTCAGAAAGAGAGGCCTTCTCTTAGAACTCTTTCAGTTCACACTTGGTACGCACTTCTGGGTTTGGGGGTACCTCTGAGGACACGCCAGGTGATGAAGAGGAAAGAAAAGGGTAAACTCTCGCTGGTCTGGAACTCTGAATGCTAGCCTCTGTCCCCAGTTCACTGGCTCCCTTTTACAATTCAGAGTCTTCAGAGCTCTGTGTGTCTGTCCACGGCTTCGGGTGGCACTCAGTGGCACAGAAGAGATGGGAGGGAGTGTGCCGACTCCATCTTCCCCCGAACTGACACCCTGTTTTAGTAGGTTTTCAGCCCAAATCCTTGTACGTGCAAACTATCCTCTGAATCTGTGTGTTTCAGTCAGATTCGCCGCTGCTATTTGGTGGCAAACTATGCAAACTCTCAGAAAGCCCTGATCAGGAAGGATTTCACCTGTTCCAGTGGTTTTACAAATTGGTCTTTCCAGAAGTGACGACTCGCAGAGTTACCTCATGAGAAATGATGCATACAGGTCGGGCATTTCCACATATAATTTGGTAAAAGTCCGACAGTTCAGGGTCTGCTATGCAATCACAGTGGAGGAATGATGTTAAGTTGACTTCGTGCCAGCCACTAACCCAGCCTTACAAAAGCCAAGGTTAGCGTTTCACTCACAGACTTGGGATATTTGTTGCCATGTAATAGTGAATTATAGTGAAGGCAACTTTACAACTCAGCTTCTATTTTGACCATTTCATACTTACCTGGGTCCTGGAAAAATGTAACAGAACCTATAAATCCTTATTGACACTGCTTTATATTCTTTGTGGGTTTAAATGGGAGTCACTGAAAGGGGATACTGTTTGCCAAAGAAACTAAACTGATGAAACAGGAAGTGAAGATGGGGTGAGAAATGAAAGCAAGAAAGAACACAGAAGGTCTAGGAACAATGACTGTGCCGGTGACAAAGGCAGCGATGAAGAGGGGGAGAGGATGTGAGAAAAGAGCAGAAGGAACGAAATGTGTAAGGATGGTCTCAGCAAGTGTTTTGCATAGAGCACTGCACAGCACGAAGCTGGCAGGGAGGAGGAGAAGTGGAAGGAGGTTGACCAGGAGGTTGGTGAGAACAGGTGCACAGGCTGGAGGAGAAACGGAGTGACATTGAACTCAGCTGGGGCAGACAGGCTGAGACTGGAACACAGCCTGGGAGCTGGATGGAGACCAAAGAGATCAGTGGGATAATGGGCTGGGAGTAATCGGCAGAATGGCTTTCTCCTCCATAGGAAGAGAGATTATTGTTTAAAAAAATACATTGAAGATTGCAACAGGGAGCAAGGAGCAAAGCAGAAAGTGGGAAATGCATTTTCTTTTGGCATCCAATGGAATATGAATAAAACATGAGTAGCTTTAGGGGGAAATGACAAATTAAGTTAAGACAATTAGGCTCTCTGTCTTCAGGAAGGCCTGGATAAGACCGTTTTAGATAATGGAGGCCCCCAAAATACACAAGCTCCTAATTGTATTTGGCTGGCTTTCTGTGCTTCCTGCCATATGGTTAGAGGGAAACGGCCATAACAAGCCAGAGCTAGTCCGTTTCAGGAATGTCTTACAGTTCCTTAAAAACAGAGACAGAATCTAAAGCAAACATAGTACTATCGAACCCTTCACACCAGTATTCATCATACAGAGCACGAAGGCATGCGCTTCGATTTTCCATTATTTAGAGAGTCTTGAAATTCCTCTTACTTGAATTTGTTCCTTTCTTCCCGTTCTATTCTCTGCAACCTTTCTTCTCTCTCCTGCCGCCGCCTCTCTCTCTCTGCTGCCAATGACTCTTGATGCTGCCTAAAGGATGATGTGAGAAGACCACTCAGTGAAGACCTAAAGATACAGAGTTAATGTTTTAGTGGCTTGGCCTGTGATTCAAAGTACCCAAGTAGGAACCAGCCAGACTTCGGTTTCGAGTGAGGGTCCAGTCCGCTGGTACCTAGGTATTGCTGGGGGGGAATTACTGAGCGTCTCAGATCTTCATCTGTAAACGGAGGTAAGTAGCCTGCTTTGTGCGTCAGGAGGAGAAGAAGGTACTAATGTGCATACAATGCTAAGCACCATGCCTGGCACATAAGCAGTCATCAATAATAGGTGCTGTTATTACCAAAAAGAATTTTCATAAATACAGATTCATCCTCTCTCCCACTCCCTTTCTCTCTCTAGAGAGACACACACAGTTTTTTGTAGAGGTTAATTCTTTTTTTTTTTTTTTAATTAAATCCAAGTTAGTTAACATACAGTGTAATCATGACTTCAGGAGTAGAATTTAGCGATTCATCACTTACATACAACACCCAGTGCTCATCCCAAGTGCCTTCCTTAATTCCCATCACCCATTTAACACATCCCCCGATCCACCTCCCCTCCAGCAACCCCCAGTTTGTTCTCTGTATTTAAGAGTCTCTTATGGTTTGCCTCCCTCTCTGTTTTTATCTTATTTTTGCTCTCCTTCCCCTATGTTCATGTTTTCTTAAATTTCACATGAGTGAAATCATATGATATTTGTCTTTCTCTGACTTATTTCGCTTAGCATAAGATACTCTAGTTCCACCCACGTTATTGCAAATGACAAGATTTCATTCTTTTTGATCACCAAAAATATTCCATTATATATATGTGTGTATATAGACATATATATACACACACACACAATATACACACCTATACACACACATTATGTATATTATATTATACACACACATCACATCTTTATCCATTCATCAGTCAATGGACATTTGGACTCTTTCCATAATTCCATAATTTCCATAAGCTATTGTCAATAGTGCTGCTATAAACACTGGGGTGCATGTGCTCCTTCGAATCAGCATTTTGGTATCCTTTGGTTAAATACCTAGTAGTGCAATAGCTGGGTTGTAGGGAAGTTCTATTTTTAATTTTTTGAGGGACACTCCATACTGTTTTCCAGATTGGCTGCACCAGTTTGGAGATACACATGCATTTTAAACTTGATCTATGGAAAGACGTTATAGAATCAACATTCAATCTAGAACTGTTTTCTATTTTACATAGGCTAAAAATATTTTACCATATACCACCTTTTTGATATACCTCCTCAAAATAACTGTGTCATCTTAAAACAGGTGTTAAGATAACAGGTGAAGAAAAAAAGACAATACTGGTCTGAAATCTGACTGAAAATAAAGAAATCTTATTCTACGTCAAGAAGCATCCAAGAACATACAGCATGTTCAAAGGACTTGACTGCTGGTGATACCACTCAATATGGACTGTTCACTGAAGATGGCATTATGGGGACAACTGGCTGCGAGAGGCCTCAGTGAGGGATCAGGGTGGTGGGAATCACAGGAAATGTTAAGTCATGAGAATGGGTGGGAAAAGAAAAAATTATGTAAACTCATGAAAAATACAAAAGGGAGTTCACTGGGAAGAGGGGTCTGTTGGACCTTTGGATAAATCTGTATGGACAATGAGGCCTTCATTTGTTGAAAAAATTCTAAAACTAAGATATAAATATTGCTGAAATATAGGTGGGATGAAATCCTACTTGAATCCAGTGAAAATATGCCTGCCTGGTGGGGAACACAAGGTTCCTTAGTGCGGGAGAAAGATGGGACTCTGGTATCACTCACATTCGGCCATAAGTCCCACAGTTATCCTCCTTAGCAACATGGAGCTGCCTCTGGCTGTCAGTCAGAAGCAGAGGGAAGAAGCCACCATTCCTGCCGGCTACAGGAAGGGAGTAACCAAATCCCATATTCCAGGCTCTCTCGGGAGCTACTTCATCAGCCCTGGACACTTGGGCATGGATAGAATGTGAGTTCTCCTTCATATAAATGAAATCTAGACTATCTTTCTTAAGCTGTTATTTATTTTTTTCTGTCATATGAGGCTAAATCTAATCCATAGAGTGTTCAGGTTTACTGTACCTCTCACGCAGTGACTGACAAATTGTTACGGACATAACAGATTGTTTCAACCTGATTAATAAGTTTAACAAAGGAGCATATATACCTACTATCCCAAAGTGGAGAAAACACATTCTTCTCAAATACAGAGACCACCAATCCTGCCACAAAGCTCATAAATAAATGCCAAAAATTGGTTTCATATGGGCTACCCTCTCAACAATGTAAATGAGCTGGAATAAGATAAACTTTAAAAATTGATATAATTGGAAAACTGTGAACACTTCTAAACAGTTCAAGCCAAAGAAGAAAAATACAGAAAATTAGAAATGATCCAAAGGGTACTATAATGAATACAATATATATCAAGATTTATAGAATACTTCTACAGTAGTATTTAGAAGGAAATTTATCACCTGAAGTGTTTGTATTAGAAAAGAAGTAAAAAATAATGAGTGGTCAACTCCACAGTTTGAAAAGCAACAACAGAATAAATTCAAATAAGGCAAAATAAATTAAATAAAGATAAGAACAAACATGAATGAAATAGAAAAATATAGAGAAAATTTAAAAAACCAAAGCTGGCTTATAATTTTTAAAAATAATAATACATTCTGTCAAAACTATTTAAGAAAAAAGCTACTAATAAGCAATTTTCAAGAATGGCACAGATACAAATACGAACATAACAAGAGACAAAAATAATTATGAGAAAATGAGAAATTTCTATGACAATACATTTGGAAACTTTGAAGAAATGGATGTTTTTCTAAAAATGATTGAAATCACTGAGGAAGAAATAGAAATTTTAGAGCTCTATTAACCTTTAAGAAATTGAATCAATTAATTACAGATATATCCATACACACCAAAACAAAAACAAAAACCCCACGAGGCTCATATTTTTAAAGGTGATTTCTACCAAATAATCAAAGAAGAATTCATCTTAATCATATACAAAGTTTCAGAGAATATAAAAGTTCCCCAGCTCATTTTATGTGATTAGTAGTAGTCTGACACAAAAACTAAACAAGAACAGTATGAGGATAGAAAGTTATATACTGATTGCAAATATGAACACCACTGCAAAATCTGAAATAAAATCATGCTGTTTGTACAATGAATCCAAGGATGTTTAAGATGAATACATCAATGAATGTAATTTACCACATTAATAGGTTATAGGAGAAAAACCATGACTACCTCCATAGATGCAGAAAAAGCTTTAAATACAATACTCATTCATTGTTAAAAAAACAAAAAAACAAAAAAAAAAAACAAACTTTAGCAAGCATAGAACTGGAGAGAGTGTTCTTAACCTGACAATGGGTATTTAGCCAACATATTTTTTTAAACTATGGTAAACATTACTCAATGCTGGAACATTAAGTGCATCTTAATGTTAGAATTGATCAATCAGCGGGGAACTGATGGACTATTTAACAATTGGTACTGAGAGGATTATTAACCACATACAACAAAATACAGTGAGGCCTTCCACATACCAAACACAAAGAAAAATTCTGGGATTGGAAAAAGTAAAAAGTAAAAACTTTGCAATATTTATCTCGGGAAAGAATTTTTATACCAGAAACAAAAAAAGTGCCATCAAAAAGGAAAAACTTGATACATTTACATATATTAAAATTTAAAATCTGTATGCACTTAAGAGAGTACAGAAGTTAAGAATAAAGAGAAGCCACCACTTAGGAGCTACTTATAACACATATAAACCACAAGGATTAGTATACATATAACAAAAAGAACCACTCCACATTAGAAAAAAAGAAACCACTCAGTGGAAAAATGAGCAAAAGATAATGGGCATTTTGCTGAAGAAGAGAATTAAATGGCCAACAGATATATAAGTGATGCCCATCTTCACTAGAAATCAGGGAAAAAGAATACAAGTTAAACCCATAGTGAAATATTATTTCAAACGTCTCAGATTGCAGATTGACCAAAACTAATGCCTGATAACCCAAAGCATCGGCACAGAACCAGACAACAAGAACTCTCTTCCATACCTTCTGGGGGTCTAAGTTGATATAATCATTTTGGAGAAGCACTCAATACAACTGAAGATGTGCATATCCTACAATCCAGCAATTCTACTTCTAGGTTTATACTAGAGACTAACTTTTGCATGTTAAAGATGGCAGATACGTACGAGAATACCATGTGCTACGCTGTTTTGCACTGTTAATGGTTAATAACTAGAAACTATATAGGAAAACAAAAATATGGTATATTTTTACAAAGAAATACTTTATGCATGTGAAAAAATAGAGTGAAATGGACTAACATGGATGATTCTCAAAAGCACAATATATTGACAGCGAAAAGCAGTCTGAAGAATATGAACGATATACTTTCATTTCTATGAAGTTTAAATACATGCCAAGTGAAACCATACACTATTTAGGGGTATGTTTATATTTAGCAAGAATATAATAACATATATGGAAATGACAAAGCCAATTTCAGGTGGTCATCACTGGGGAAGAAAATAAATCAAAGGGACAAGGGCTTCAATTTTATATACAATAGCTCCATAATTTTCTGTCATTACCTAAAATTTTCTGTAAGCCTGGAATATATTTTTGAAGCTATTCTATTGCTCTTTAAGAATCAAAAATACTTCTTGGGGCGCCTGGGTGGCTCAGTCGGTTAAGCATTCAACTTTGATTCAGGTCACAGTCTCACGGTTTGTGAGTTCAAGCCCTGCGTTGTGCTCTGCACGGACAGCTCAGAGCCTAAAGCTTGCTTTGGATTCTGTCTCTCCTGCTCTCTCTGCCCCTCCCATGGTCATGCTGTGTCTCTCAATAATAAACATTAAACAAAATTTATTTAAAAAGAATCAAAAGTACTTCTCTTTTAACATCAAGTATCTTTGAAGCCCCGAGCTAGGTGAACCTCAAAAGTTAAGTCCAGCTCCAGAAT